CGTATTCTAAGGTCGGTTGGTTTTCCCACTCTGGAGGGCGATACCCTCCCAGGCTGTGGAGGACTTGGATCAAGTTTTCAGTTTCTCCTAATCTCAATTTTTTCACCTCCTTCGTGTTTTCTTTGATTTGTATCCACAGTGTTTGAACATTTGATTCACTGCCCATCCCATCAAATTGTTTAAGTTCCTATGTGTTTTCCATTGGGTCCAGTGGGATTTTTCTTGCTCTAGAGAAAATCTTTTGAGTCCACAACCAATAGATGAAACTGTTATTTTCTTATCGATACTGTAACATGGGATTTTCTTATCAATACTGCTCTCAGTACAGAGAAAGAGAATGGTATTATTATTTCGTATATTTCAACTTTTCATTTCAGTGTACATTGATGATTTATCTAGAGTTGGTGTTAGGATTTAGAAAATAACAGATAAAATAAAAATTTTTACCAACAAAAAATTTGATGTTCATATTTGGAGATTTTACAGCTAATGCAAGTAAAATATGGAAACTGTAAGATGAAAAGTAGAATTTATATTCTTAGCATGAAAAATCACCTTACACTCAAATTTACTCAGGAAAGGCATCAGAAATTCAACAAAAAACTTTTAGAGTAAATATAATTATTTCAATATAAACAACCTGATATTTTGTGTATGACAGACTTGTAATGTTTACTGAAAGCTTACCTCATTTTGTTAAGACACAGTAACTTCAGAGGTATGGTAAATATTATCGTGTATAGCTTTCAGATCTGGGGTTGGCCAATGTGGCTGGGCTTGTGAACAGGTAGTTAGAGAGTTATAAACTTGTATAATTTATTGAGAGTGGCCAGAATTTTTCTGATGAAATACACCTTAAATCTGTTATATATACAAGTTAACTATACTACCATATTTTTCAGAATATAATGCACACCCAATTTTGAAAGGTTAAATTGAGTAAATTTTTTTTTACACACCAGTTGCATAAAATGTATTGAATAGTTTAAATACCGTAAACAATTATCGATGTATTAAACATTTTTGGAAATCTTTCATTGAAATTTTTTTTACATGTCAATTTTACAAAATTTATTGAAAAGTTTAGATGTGGTAATACACTGAGCTAATCAATCATCTTCACAGAAGTCTTCATCTAGTATTGTTACTACCATTGGATTTGCTTCATCCTCTTCTGATTCCCACAGTATATCGTCATCCATCCCATCCATTACGTTGGATATGCAAAATGTTTTTAAACATTTAATGATGCTTTAATGATTTTCAGCTTCTAGTAAAATACCTTACAAAATTGAATTTGCCTCGAATATAATGCACAGTCAATTTTTCAGGAGGTATTTGGAGGGAAAAAGTCCACATTGTATTCGGGCAAATATGGTATTTGAATGGAGAGGTTTCCATCTATCATTTTTTGTTTGTTTTTTTCCAACTGATTCATAATAATAGTTTAAAAAATCCTTAAACTTTTTCAACAAAAAAAATATATATATTTATTAGATCATTTTATTAGATCAAGTTTTTATGTAACTAGGTAAAATCTGAAAATTGTTTGTTTCAGAGGGTCTGTTTTTAATAATAGTCGAATCTTTAATTAAGCCATGCATATTTGAAATATAGTTAAACTTGTTGCATTTTCTTTTATAGTTTATATATGATTTTTGATGTTCTAGACGGTTTCTCAGAAAACCCAATGTAGCAGAGGCTAGTGAGCAGTTTGGTAAGTATCTATTTTCTCAATATTACTATTACTGTTAGTGGGATCACATGCCATTGAATTACTTGAAATTATTTAAGATTATCTAGCTTAATGAATTCCCGCAAAAAAATTAAATATACTAAGATGTATGAGGCAAGTATAAGCTGTTTATTCAAATTAATAATTACTGGTATGGGCATGTCAGTATTATTAGTATTAAATACAGATTGGAAGATGTTACCATACAAAGTTTGAAATGCTTCTTTTAGAACAGTGAAGATGATTGCAGATAACTTCTCACGTTCATAAAACAGACGTTGTAAGGAGTTCCAACTATCAGGCTGTTCCATATCAACTGGCAAATCATTCTGAAAGTTAACAATCTTAAAAATAATTATTTCTTGTATTAAATGTTAATAAATAACTATATATCATGTTCAAGTATTTCATTATTTACAGGTTATTTCATATGCAATCTGTGTCGTGGTTTCTTTTCCGATATCAAAATTCATTTTAAATACATATAATAGATTAGTCATAGCCTGACTCGGACTCTATAAAATTTTTTATAAAAATACTTAATTTAAAAAAATTTTGTTTTTTGTGTATAAAAGACTTGTAATGCTTACTAAAAGTTTGCCTAATTTCGTGAAGATACTTATTATATTAAAAGTTATAGTATGTATGTATGGTTTCCTGGTGGTTAAAGTCAAAATGATTGAGCCAATATATGGACAGTTAAACAGATTTTGACAGTTTTGATTTGGAATGAGGAGACTAGTTTCAGTAATGACAAGTATAAAGTTGTACGCTTGTGGCATATTTTTGTAAGGTCGTGAGGGAGCACCAACCCATTCCTTCATTTGCCTGGGTGGTTCCACATTATTTTCCATGTGACTATCTTATACATTCCAGTTTAGATCCCAAGCTCAAGCGGGAGCCCCACATATAGGTTTTTGTGAAACATATTTAGTCAAGCAGGATTAAGACATATACACAAATTATTCCATAGTATAGGGCCCCAAGCTGATTTGGAGGTCTGTGCGAGATCAGACATTTTTCCTCTCTGCATCCACAAGCCTTTCGTGAAATGACGCTCCTTTGATGGGATTGTAATCATATCTCTGATATGGAACATTATATACAAGCCTTTTGTGAAATGACACTCCTTTGATGGGATTGTAATCATATCTCTGATATGGAACACTTTATACAAGCCTTTTGTGAAATGACACTCCTTTGATGGGATTGTAATCATATCTCATATCATATGGAACACTTTATACAAGCCTTTCGTGAAATGACACTCCTTTGATGGGATTGTAATCATATCTCATACCATATGGAACACTATATAAAAAATCAAGTTTTATCATTAGCTGAAAGTTCTCTAACCTGCATGTAATATTGCTTTACAATAATACACCTGTGATTTTTTTTGAATTTCTAATTGATTAGTAAACACAGAAATCATATTAACTAATCAATTTGATAATTAGCTGCTTTTTCAGGGGGGGATGATTGTGGCAATCTCTCTGTTCTAAAGGCAGCACTACATCACTGCTTGTGGCATGGAAGTTTGAAAGAAACTTCTCGTGCAAGAGTAGTACTTGTGTTTTATCGGTGACTGTTTAATAAAACTTGAAATCTTTAGTATGGTGTTTGTGTGGTTAGAAGAAGCACATATAGGTTCAAAAATGTTTACAAGAATTTTGAATTTAAAAGTAAAAAGGTGACTTGATGATACTTCTGAGGCCTTATTTAGAATCAGTTTTGGACCACTTAATACAGAAATGTTATTAAAATGTTGAAAATTATTTATAGAAATGATATCTGATTAAAGAAAGTTGAACGTTAAGATGATGTTGAAAGATTTGGGCTTACTTAGAGTATTGAAAAATAATAAAAAGGTTAAAACTAATTAAAATCATTAACATTTTCTGTTGGGTCATCTAAATAGATGATGGAGCGAAAAGGTTGTAAATAGTAGGCAGAAGTTTTAGGCTTTGGGAGAATAATCGCATACTTTCAGAGTGTTATTATTTAGTTAGATTTATAAAGTTGTAGAATGTTTGCCTGATGACAGGATTTGTATCTTTGTTTGAATTCTTACAAAAGTTTGTTGGATTGGTATTTAATTTGGTTAGTTGATTTAGGTGGATAAAATAGATGACCACATATGCTAGATGACCATCTTTCTCCATCATCTTTCATATGTTAATACAGCTAAGTAATTTCATAAGTTGGGAAGTGGAAAAACACTAGTATTGTAAACAGAAATCTTAACTGTTAGTTTAATGTTTTCCAGGTTTGTTAGCTAAGGAACTACAGCAGCAAGAGTGCCCACATTATGCAGCTTTCTGTTGCTTGGCCGTTGCAAGGTAAGTAGATTTGTAAAAATATTCAAGTTCACATTTTTCACCTTTTGTCAAATAAAATACTGTCAAGCATCAAATATTTCAAAAAAAAACATTTTGATTGTAAAATTGCACACAGTATGTTTTGTTTGTAAAGTTTTTGTTATTTGTCTGGGTTTATAGTGGAACTGTTAATAACCTACATGATATATTTTAAAATGTGGTCATGATCTATGTTTGTCTGGGTTTATAGTGGAACTGTTAATAACCTACATGATATATTTTAAAATGTGGTCATGATCTATGTTTGTCTGGGTTTATAGTGGAACTGTTAATAACTACATGATATATTTTAAAATGTGGTCCTGATCTAGGTGTGAGCATACTCTGGGTAACGCTGTGGGTGAAACCCAAGCCTTGGTTGATGGAGCAAGGTCGTTTCTTGAAGCTGAGCAACAGAATCATCAACTTAATTGTCCTAGCTTTGACGAGCATCTCAATGCTGCCATAAGCTGCTACAACCATGCAGTTAAAGTCCACCTCGAGGAAAAACAGCCGTCACTAGCAGCATCTTTATGTATGGAACTTGGACAGACCTTGAGGTTGTTAGGGAAGATCAAAGAAGCCACCGCACATTTCCAGAAAGCAGCGGAATTGTTGAGTCATGTAAGTTTTATAATATACACAACATTTAGTTCGTAAGCAATTATAAAATATTTATTTCATAACCACTTACAGTAAAGTTGTGGCAATTAAATATCAGTCATCATCATTAGCCTTTATAGTCACCAAAATTTAATTATAGTTATTATTATTTTTTTACTACTAGACAATACTTAGTAATTAGTATATGTCCCTTGTTTTGGCTGCTAATGTGTTGTTAACGGAAGATTAAAGGAAGCCATGAGGAGAAATACTTATAGAGACAAGGGCAAGGATTTGATCCTGGGTCTTTTTGTTATCTCATCTCATTGTCTGGTAATTGTCATTGTTTGTGTAATGTCCAGATAATTTAAAGTAACATCTTGCATCTCATCTTATTATCTGGTAATTGTTGTTGTTTGTATATTGTCCAGATAATTTAAAGTAATATCTTAATAAGATGAGATGCATCTGGTAATTGTCGTTGTTTGTGTAATGTCCAGATAAAACTTAAAGGATATCAGGTTGTCATTTTTGTTCGTAATGAATCGTAATTTTTCCCAGATTTACTAGAGATGTCTCTTGATAAATTTGTATGGATTGATGAGATTGAAATCATGTCTCTGCTATGGAAAACTTTATATAAAATGAAAGCTGCAGGCTTTCTGGCCTTACATCTATTACTGCTTTACAGTAATATACCTTAAGCAATGATTTGCCGAACTTCTAATTAATTAGTGAAGACAATACTTGTATTAAGTAACCAGTTTGATAACTTGGGTAATGTGGACTGCCTATTATTGAGAATGAACAATACTGGAATGCAGAAGATACTAATAAGAAGGAATCAGAAACATCATTAAAACTTTTTGGGAGACTGGATAACAACTGAACACTTGACGAAGAAGATGATAAAGCCCACAAACAAACGGGAAGAAAACTACAGACAAACAGCTGTATCAAGCCCACGAACCAACAGGAAGAAAACTACACACACACAACTGTATTCTTCATTTCAAGTCTATATTGAAATCATACAGAGGATATGAGAGCGGCAAAAGATCAGAATACTATTCAAAAGCCATAACACAATATGATCACAGTTAGCACGTACCGAACCACTTTAAAGATCAAATGAAGAGGAAGAAAAACAGTGTGAATGTAGCTACAACACATTAGAGAAACAAAAATAATTCAGGAGTGTGATAGACATTAAAGACTATGACACCGGTTTACCTTCAGTTGTTATTGTTTTATTTGTCTGATATATATACAATTTTTAAAAAACACTTCCTTATTCACAGCACAGAAAAATAGAATGTTTATTTTTTTTAAATAATATTGAAGATAAATCATTTTATATTACCATTATATAAAAACAATTTGAGGGATATTATCGCAATTTTCATGGATGACCCTACTTCATTAATTAGAAATTTTAACTGATACATAGATATTGAGGCTTGAAAATAACTGTCTCATCTGTTTAAGGGTAGATTCTATGAAAAGGACAGAAAATATTTTGTTTCTGTCTTCTTATTAAAAAGATATTCCCAGTACCATTGACGTCGATAATTTTGGCACGTTCGTCATCTGTTGTTTTGATACCTGAATTCCTAAACACATTTATATGAATTTGCATGTTCTATAAACATGAAAATCATTTGTTTTTAATAAAGAATTTGTCATTCTCCTTCTCTGTATGAAACTTTATGTAATTTTCTAAGTATGATGGATACTTTATACTTTTTTTGCAATAAAGCTAAAAAAAACCAAAAATATATGTCCTTCAAAACTTTTTAAAGAAAAACACCATAATCCAATATTATTGTTATATACTAAAATATCCAAGAAGGCAGCTTGTAGATTTAGTTATATGATTGTTTTATATAAACTCTAATCTCACTCACAAATGTAAGTATTTAACCACGTGTATTTGTCTGTGTCATGTACTACTTGACTTTTATATCTTTGTCTGACATTCGTACCTTATTAGTAATGTTTAATAGTTATTTTATTAAATGATTATTGATTTATAAAGTTGAAATATTTTTGTGTCATCATGAAAGTGTGAGAAATGATGTGCTTGAAAAATTAATGTTTGAGCTTCCAGACAGAATGGTATAGCTTTCTCACTGTGATATATTAAAACAACAATTCCTAATATGAATCAAACTACATGTTTTAACTGTTTTCATAACTTCTACATTGATTGCTGCTGTTGGTTTTGATTTAAATTACTACACATTTGAAAACAACGTTTTTCTGTTGCAGTTATCAAACCTGCTGAAAGCCTCCCACTTATCTTGTAAAAATTGATATATTTAAATTGGATTAAACGTTTGTGAAAGTGACCTATAAAACCTGAAGCTGTCGTAATACGTCATTTAAATAACTTGCTACTGTAATGATATTGTTTTTGTCAATAACTAGTTAGATTTATAAGGGGATTAATAATAATCCAGTTACTTTCTATTAAAATAAGTTTGTTGTAGACTTTAATTAGCACTTTTTTCTTTTATAATGTCAAACTAACTTTGAGTTCCTAATGCTGTGCAAATAAAATATCTAGATGATGTATCAGATATGATTTTTCTTTGAGTAACTGCCAAGATCAATATCTTTGAAACCAGCTTTTATACGAGCTTTAAGGGCACTTAGGTCTTAGTTTTGTTTCTATTTAGCTAATTACACATGTGCAGTCAGTGTAACCAGCTTAAACAGCTTCTTCAGTAACTGTGTTAAACTACAAAACTTTTACAAACCTGTCAATATACATTTAATAAGTTAGTTTCAAGATGTATACTTAATAAAATAGAAAAGCAAGGAATAGTTATGAATAATATAACATGCTACTTTTGTTTTAGTGTGTAATACGTAAGAACATTTTATTGATTTGTAGAATTATATGCAGACTTTTCTCTATGGTAAAATACTTTTATTTGCAAGATTTCGACCCTCATACCGGAACCTTCATCGGGCAACAATGTACAATGTTGCCCGATGAAAGTTATTTATAAGTTAAGTATACTTATAAGTATAAGTTATTTTCATCACTGATAAGTGGTGCTATTATTACAGATGATGCAGAGTTTATCGTCTTCATATCTATAAGCTTGTTTCATCAGAGACAAAATTTATATGTAAATCTACTTCAGTACACAGAGCACTCTTACGATTCAGGTTTGTAAAAAATTAATTTCATTTATTTTATATTGTAGTGCGTTGCAGACTACCTGAATGTCTTGGATCTCGTGGCTTCTTGTAAAATACAGCTTGGTAGGTTATTATTTCTCAGTTTAAAATTGGTAAATAATTTCATACATCTAATGATTTGCGGCATAATACTGATAAGTTTTTTTTCATCAACCTCATGATTCTTTGTGACCTTTGAAGGCTTAACTTTTGTGGTTACTTTTAAGACAATGTTTACATATGTCTGTGTTTAGTAAGTATGATTTTAAGACAATGTTTATGTTTGTCTATGTTTAGTAAGTATGATTTTAAGACAATGTTTATGTTTGTCCATGTTTAGTAGGTATGTAAAGATTGTTGTTCTTATTTGCAGGTGATTATGATGGAGCTCTGAATGTGTTAACTGAAATGTCACTGGTTGCGGAAGAACAAGGTATTGAGTTATTAGTTTTAATATTTGTTTCCAACATTGATATACTGTACGTATATATTGTACTGTCTGCTCTGGATCCACTTGTCCCATATCTTGATACCATGCTTGCAACACAGAATTGTGTTATTTTTAGGAATCTGAAAATTTTATGTTTGTTAAAATCTGAGTGCAATAACTGTTTCAATGTGAATTGGAGAATTAGGAATTTGCATTCCCAAAAATAGCGGTAATTGTACGTCTAACTCAGTTGTTGAAGTTAGTGATTGTGATTCAAAGTTCCTGTAACTATGTTCAAGAGGAAGTATGTCTTTACACATGTTAGTTGTAATTGATGACTCAAATGCTATATCAGAGTGACCTTTTAGTTGCCCTACCACAACTATCATTAGGCTTAGCATTCCTTACTGCAACTATCATCAGGTTTAGCATTCCTTATTGCAACTATCATCAGGTTTAGCATTCCTTATTGCAACTATCATCAGGTTTAGCATTCCTTATTGCAACTATCATCAGGTTTAGCATTCCTTATTGCAACTATCATCAGGCTTAGCATTCCTTATTGTGTTATTATGCTTAGCATTCCTTACTGCAACTGTTATTATGCTTAGCATTCCTTACTGCAAGCGTCATCAACCTTAGCATTCCTTACTGCAAGCGTCATCAACCTAAGCATTCCTTACTGCAAGCGTCATCAACCTTAGCATTCCTTACTGCAAGCGTCATCATCCTTAGCATTCCTTACTGCAAATGTCATCAACCTTAGCATTCCATACTGCAAACGTCATCACACTTAGCATTTCTTTCTGCAACTGTTATCAGGTTTAGCACTTCCATTACAATATTATCTCAACAATGTTAAAAATAACTTATAAGAAGAAGTTGTCAAGCTAAATAATGTTAGTTACAGATAAAACAAATATGTTTAAAGACTTTTTTTAAGTTACATTTTGTTAGGTTTACCTAGCAATAGGTGGCAATCTTTGAATGGAATCACACAACAGTTAAAACTGTCGCATGTTACAATGATATTATGTCATTAAATCATAATGTAACTATAGCTAATTTAAGGAAAAAATTAAAATAAATATAACTGTACACTGACATATTTATTAATGTTAGTTTTTAATAAAGGGATAATCTTTACTTTTTCTATAATTTTTGTTTTTTTCTTTGTTAATGACTTTAACATTCTTAAAAAATTGAAGGAGTGATTATACATTATAGGGAACTTGCAGATGTTACTTCAATCTTGTTGAAATCTGTTGGTTTGTTTTTCTAGTGTCTTTACATTTAATTTGATACATTGATCATGATATTGTATTGGGAAAAGAATTTTCTGACAGAAGTCGGACTCTTTTTTTTTTCTTTTTCCTGGTAGGAAAGAAAATTTTACAGTGAAATGTACACAGCGTGGTCACAAGTGAATAGACACCACCTTTTCAGAAAAAATGTAATTTTTCAGTCATATTCACATGACTTGATATATTTATAATTTAATTAATATCTAGTGGATCTTCCTTTCGCTTTCACAAAAGTGGAGTTTGTTGATCCTTTGGGGCATCATGAGAATCATCTCATCAATTTTAGATTGTGGTATTTCCGCCCACTCTTGCTTCAAAACTTGGAGTAGATCGCTCTTCGAAGTTGGTTTTTTTGTTGTTTCTTGACTTGCCGGTCGAGTATGGCCCAGAGGTTTTCGATGGGGTTCATGAAAGGAGATTGGCTCGGCCAGGGAAACTTCTGGATACCATTTTCTTCCTGCCACTTTTTGGGTGTTTCTAGCAGTGTGACACGGTGCTCCATCTTCCTGGAACAACAATGTGTTCTTGTCCACGAAATCCGAGGAATAAAGTGGCAAGAGTCCTTCCTCCAATATTTCGACGTATTTTGCAAAATTTATGTTGCCAACGCACTCCACTAAGCTCGATCTCCCACCAACCCAAACAGCTCCCCAAACCATCATGCTGAAACCACCATGCTTCACAGTTGGCCGCAATCTGTTGAGCCAAAACTCTTGGTGAGGCATTCTCCAGACCCATATCCTTCCACTGTACAAAAACTGAGCGAATCTTGATTCGCCTGAGAACAAGACGGCCTTCCAAAAGTCCAGAGGCTTGGTCA